GAGATGAGCCAGAAACCACATGGGGTCTGTCTCCCATGGTGTCCTGTCCAACACTGGGCTACCCTGACCCCCGCTCTCTCAGGCTGCCCACCAAGGGCTTAATAGAGCTAGGTCAATCCCACATGAGAGACAGGTTAGGGCAAGTCTTTGTCAGACTCCATCTGCTTATGCATGATAGGGTTTGGACTGCTGTCCCTTGTATGAGCATTGCAGACTCTCTCTTTGCTATCCAGGCGTGTCCTGCCACCTGGGCCTCCAGCTCCTCTGAACTTTCCAGAGCCCTGCACCAAGCCCTCGCTTGGTGCCAGCACCTCCTTTCCCTCTGTCCATCTTCCCTGGAGAAGCCTGAGCCAAGTGTGACTCTGGAAGCTTTTCAGCACTACCCCTGGGTTCAGCCCACCACTTTCTTTCTCTACTACAGCAAACACCATCTACCCAATCTTAGCCTAGAGAATCAGCCTGAGGAGGCTGGGAGAAAAAATTGACACAGTGAGCAAGGAACAGCTTCTAGCCAGAAACCCCTGCTCTGAGAGCCCATCTTTTCCATTGATGGCTTTTGGCTTGACCCTTCTGTCTCCCATGGCGGCAGAATTCTACGAGCACAATTCAGGGATCTTTCCCTCCATTTTACATTGCTAATAATGGATGTTAATCTTGAATTCTTCAGCATCTCTTCCATTGAATTAGAATGGCTTTCTCATAGTTTATTTTAGAAAGATGTTCAATATACTAAAGCAAACCAGAAAAAAAATCAAATATATAGCTTTGATGAATTCTATCACGTTTCTCCCTGAGTTTTCAACTCTTAATTTTTGTTGCTTATTCATGACCCCTATCATGTTCTTAATTTCTTTCAATGCCTTTTCTTTCAGTTCTTTGGTGGGCATGGTTTTTTTTTTTTTAATTTGGCTATTGTGAATTGTATTGCTGTAAGTATGAATATACAAGTGTCACTACAGTGATACTTTAATTTTATGTATATAAACACACACACATACACACACACATATATTCTTAATATTTTTTAGTTGTCAATGGACCTTTATTTTTATTTATTTATATGCTTTGCTGAGAATTGAACCCAGTGCCTCACATATGTTAGGCAAGTGCTGTACCACTGAGCCACCACCCCAGCCCCTGATGTAATACATTTTTATATATATTTATTTATTTATATGTGGTGCTGAGAATTGAACCCAGTGTCTCACACATGCCGGGCAAGTGCTCTACCACCGAGCTACAACCCCAGCCCTCTTTATATTTTCACCTGTTAAGTTTTATTGTGTGACTTGCAAATACATTTGTAATCCCAAAGTTGACATTATTGCCCACATTGTTTTATTGGTGTGTTATAGTTGTACATAAGAAGATTTGTTGTTGTACATTTGTATATGCACAGAAGATAACAATATAATTTGGCTAATATCACTCCCCAGAACTTCCCCCTCCTTTTTTTTTTAAAGCAACTTTTTTTTTTTTTTTTAGAGAGAGAGAGAATTTTTTTATTTTTATTTTTTAATTTTTTATTGTGGGTTGTTCAAAACATTACAAATTTCTTGACATATCATATTCCACACTTTGATTCAAGTGGGTTATGAACTCCCACCTTCACCCCATACACAGATTGCAGAATCACATCAGTTACACATCCATTGATTTACAAATTGCCATACTAGTGTCTGTTGTGCTCCGCTGCCTTTCCCATCCTCCACCCTTCCCCCTCCCCACC